TGCGTCTGCCACAAGAAGCAAGCTGCCCCGGGCGACAGAACCAACTGACCTTGTTCCTGAGCGGGACAAAGTCTGGGTACTGCTGCTCATAGTACTCATCCAGGGCGCGCTCGTACTTGGAGTAGGAGATGAGCCAGTTGACGGACGGGAAGTGCTTGCGCTGGGCCAGCTTCTTGTCCAGCCCCCAGAACACCTGCACGATGTTCAGCGTGGCCGTGGTGACCGGGTCGGAGAAATCTCCACCGGGCGGGGACACGCTGAGGACGAAGACAGAAGTATCGTGTCGTGTTACAGTTCACATTTGAATTTGAGTAGACGAAAGTACAGCAACACAATATCCATCATTTACTCAGGGATGCCAAATGATTTTGGAAAAAAAAAGAAAAAAAACCCCGGAAAATGAGCGGAGCATCACACCTCACCTAAAACGAACCTTGTAAAATCTTTCAATGAACAAACAAAAACATTTCTCTTACCATTCCCCTTTCTTTTGCAAGTGTAGGAAAAAACCCGGAAAAAGCCGGAAAAACCGGAGATTTGGCATCGCTGTTTACTACAAGGAAAAAGCAAGACAAAATGGGCAGATAAAACCACAAAAAAATTAATTTAAAAGCAACGGAGGGAAAAGTAGAATCCACCAATGGCGCTCTCCAACTACACGCATGCTAGGAGGCGGCCATTTCCGATTTCCCATCAACAGGATCAAAAGATTGGCACTGCATGCAACAAGATGTAAGTTGTGAGAGGAAAGGTTTAAAACGGAACAATAACCACTTCAAGACTTGCTGTTTCAGCAAAATAACGCATGGTCACCGTGCAGGCAGGGTTAAACCCAGCACGTCAACAACAACAAGCAACAAGAAGGGGGAAAAAAAAAAAAAGAGAAAGAAAGACAAAAGGAAAATAAAGAAAGAAAGACAAAAGGAAAAAAGAAAGAGAAAAAGGAAGACAGACAAAAAAGAAAAAGAAAGAAAGACAAAAGGAAAATAGAAAAAGAAAAAGGAAGAAAGACAAAAAAGAAAAAGAAAGAAAGACAAAAGGAAAATAGAAAAAGAAAAAGGAAGACAGACAAAAAAGAAAAAGAAAGAAAGACAAAAGGAAAATAGAAAAAGAAAAAGGAAGACAGACAAAAAAGAAAAAGAAAGAAAGACAAAAGGAAAC